AGTAAAGGACTTCTGATTGGGTGGTTGTAAATTTTTTTTTTACTATACCAAAGATAGGCATGCCAGCCATATCTTAACTCCATACCTTCTAAATTTAGCAAGTTTTTGCTTTCAAGTTTTAGCCAGTCTTATATCCAGATAAGACTACAGGCCCACAAATACATTGTTAAATCTGGTAGAGCATAGTCCCCTCTTTCCTTGCTATCTTTCAAAATATCCCATTTGATTCTAGGCTTGTTGCCCTTCCAAACAAATTTCCTTAAATCCTTATTCCATTCTATTATAATTTTCTTTTTGTTATAATTAGAAGATTTAACAACAAAAACATAATCATCAGAAGTATCATCACTTTTATTATGGAAATTCTCCCCAAAATGTATACATTTAATTTATTCCAGTTTAGTAAGCCTTTTGGAAATTCTATCCAAGTCTTCTTGAAGTTGTTATCAAAAAGTTTTAAGTTGTTATTTGGAAGCCAAATGGCAAGATATTTTATTTTCTTTCCCAATCAACATCCTGATTTTTTGGCTAGTAGTTCTTCTTTGTTTGATGTCATGTGTTTGGTCATTATCTGTTTTTCTCCCTCTATTTATTTTGAAACTTGAGTATTTCCCATAGCTGTTCATCTCTTTCATTAATGTGCTCTACCCCTTCTATAGGGTCTTCCAGTATTGCTACCAGATGCGAAAGCCCTCATTTTATTTTCATGTCCTTTTATTTTTTTCCCTTTAATCTTTTTGTTTGATCTTACTGCATTCTTTAAAACTTCTAGCACTATAATACACAACTAGAATGACAGAGGACACCCCTGTCTAGTTCATTGTTAACCTTGAATTCTTCTGTTTTAGTTCCATTTATTGTTATTTGGGTGCATTGATGTTTATAGATCTGTTTGATGTTTTCCATGAAAGATTCTCCCAGCTCCATTCTCCTTATCACTTCTAACAGCAGTGTGTTTTGGATTAATATCATCAGGCCTCAATAACCGAAACTGATTCCATAAAAAATGATGAGATAGTGTACTTGACACTTCCCTAGGTTCTGTAAAGAGTGTGCTGTCAAGTTCTGAAAGAATGCCAGGAACCTTTTTCTCAAAGTATCTAGCAATCTTTTCACAGTAGAAAACCATGGGTTGTATAACTGAGCTCTCTGGGCCCATACCCCAAAGATTCCTCATAGCTTGGAAAAGTCCTACTGGATTGGTAATTGAAAATGCAACTGTAGAGGTGTAATGTAATTTTTATTTTTTTTATTTTTTGTCCTGCCTCACTGCTGCAAAGTAGGCACAACAAAGAGTCTTTTCTGAATTCTGATTGCATTCACTCTGAGACCTATGCCACCTGGCCCTTATCCATCTTACTTCATTGCCCACAGATCTCCTATAAACCAAGAAGAATTACAAGCTCCACAACACTGAATTGGGTGTTGAGCACTGATTGTATCAATAGCCCTTGCTGTCTCTCCATTTCATAGTAAAAAAAAAGGGCTTGATAGAGTCATCAGTCCAGTCACTCGCAAATTGTGCATATAAGAAACCATCATATAGATTATCCTCCATCTAGTTGGCATCCCCTTCTCTTCAGACAGGGTGGGAATGTTAAAGGAAGTGGGCTAATGTTGAAAATGACATCACACAGCCTTATAAGTACATCTCAAATGTTACTTTCTGAGAAAGACAGGCTCACCATTCGCAGCAGCGATAGAAAAAATCACAGTGCCCAATAGTCACGGTTTTGCGAGGACAAAAACCAATGAAACATGTCCCATTCAGACTCCGACATTTGGCAAAACCAGATCGAAGCTGAACATTTCCTGCACAAAATAATAACAATAACAATGATGAGGAGATTGATAATGTGTACTTGTGTTTGTTCGTTTTACATGGAATAAGATC